GAAGGCCCGACAGATGAAGTACAAATGGAGGTAGGTGTCAGACAGGGAGACTCTCTGTCAATAACATTATTTAACATTGCTATAGAGGGGGCAGTAAGAGCAGCCAAAATTATGGGAACGATTATTGAATCTTCAGCCCAACTGATAGCGTATGCAGACGATATCGCACTGGTTACTAGAGATTTAAAAACCATGCAGAACATAATATTAATACTAGATAAAGAAGCAAAGAAGAGAGGGCTAGTAATAAACCAAAGCAAAACGAAATACCTCAAGTGTTCAAGAGAGAATACGAACATAGAGAAAGAAATTAAGCTTGGTGCATATACATTTGAAATAGTACACCGTTTCAAATACTTGGGAGTGATGATGAATGACATAAATGATAGAACTGATGAAATAAATTAACACATCCTACTGGGTAATGAAACCTACTAGAACTACCAAAAATTCCTGAAAGAAAAGCACATTAGTAAGAAAACCAAATTAAAATTTACAAGATTGCAATCAGGCCAGTGATCACCTATGGTGCAGAGACGATGTGCCGAACACAAAAAGTTGAAATGAGGTTGAAAATCTTAGAGAGAAAGATAATTCGACGAACAATGGGACCGGTGAGGATAAATGTAGGTGAATTTAAAAGATTATCCAATGAAGAAATTAAAGAAGTCATCGAGGGTGAAGACATAATCAAGTTCATGAAGACGTAAAGGCTCAGGTCGCTGGGACACACAGAAAGAGCTAACCCAGACTCTACTCTAAAGCGAATAACTGGATGGAGACCAACAATAAAGAGACCAAAGGAGAGACCCAAAACAAGATGGAGAGATCAAGTCTTAGGAGACATAAACAAGCTGAGAATCTACAATTGGAAGGAGGGAGCGCTGTTTAGGACCAGAAAGAATGGAGGAAAATTGTAGACAGGGCCAAGTCACACACGCTGCTATAATAATAAAAAAAAACAACAGCAGACTGATTCTCCGCAATAAATGAATCGGAGCCCCAAAGGGCGGCAAACACTCCGCCAGGAGTGAATAAGCCATGATGATGATGATGACGATTTTTGCAAATAAAGCAGGTGAGTATACCTTGTGACAAAAATATGCGGTACGGTATTTGGTCGAAACTTGCCTCCAAAAGCTCAATATGTGCCTATATTCAGAAAGAGTTGAGCTAATTTTTGGAAATGGTATTGATGAAATAAGCTTTAAACCGATATTCTGTAATTCTTCAACTAATACTTGATAAGGAATTGATGGGCAGACTGCAGACAAGACTAGTCTTTCTGCTGGAGAGACAAGTCTTCGTGCTGTTACAACTTCGCCGAGTACTTCTATAGAGCCATGTTGTGTTATGAAGTTATCTACTACGGTTTTGTTTGCCAAATACATGCAGATTCTATTATGAGATAATCTAGATGAAAAAATAATATTTTTTGGGTTGATGATTGTGCCCAAAGAAATGAGATAAGCCTGCAGTTAAGCATTATTTATACAATTGCTTGGTTCTTACTCGGAAAAGAATGTGAAGCAGCTGAAGCATAACTGTGATATTCGAACGTTAATTTACTGGACTGGTTAGATCGAAAGGTGTGTTTTCATTGTGTGAAGTCATTTTAAGCTGCGGCGGCGAAGGCCTTACTCCGACTCTGGTAAGTTAAAAACCAGTCACATGCTACTATAAGCTACTTATAGCAGCTAACCTCACAAAATGATTGTACGGTAGTGTATATTTATTATTTGACGTTTTCTTTTCTTAATAATAAAATAATAATTACGTATAGATGACTTACGTAGTAGTATATAGTAGATAAACACTTTATTTTAAAAAACTATTTAATAAAACCACTTGTTTTTATTAAAAACTAGGAGTACGATATCAGTACAACTTAACCGTACCTTACTAGGCCCGGTCTTTTTCCGTCAAATGTATTAAATCCCAAAAATTCAAGCATTACTTTTCTCCGGAAAAGCGTTTTTCTGTTTCTTTACCTAATGTATAAACCAGCAGGATTGCTAGTGTATATTGATTGTGTTTACGAAAACTACTTATCCTAAGGATAGTATCCGAAGGAAGTATTTATTGAAAAAAATATTGCTAACAAAAATCTGGAGTATAAACAAAATTTTAAAAAATGGTGTACTAAGTTTTTAGACCCAATTGAAGTAGAGTTGTAGCTAATGAAATAAATGGACCAACCCTTGCTAATCTTCTTCATCCAACTAAATAGCCTGCTTCAAGTCTAGAACTCTTTCCTCTTTTTCTTGTGGCTTGTTTAGTACTGGAACGTTGTGTATTCCAGTGCTTACAAGTTTTTTGTAGTTCCTTTACTTTGTTTTCTTTTTTGTCCGTTTTTTACTAGTACTTTTCTCCCATATTCTTATCTCCAGTAGTATGGGGTTGTGATCTGCTGTTCCTTCATTTAATGTTTGAATTTCTCTTTGTAGTCCTAGGTTCCTAGCAACTATAATGTCGATATGGGTGGGAAGTCTGTTTCCTGGGAAGTGTGCTGGTTCGATAGGTCCCATTGCTATAATGTTATTATTGTTATCTATAACTGTTTAGCAGTTTTCCGTTTCTATTCGTAACTCTATCATTCCAATTTGGAGATCTTGTATTTAGGTCTTCAATAATTATTGATGGTCTGGCTATACTTAGGAACGCGCTAAGGTCATCATCTATCAATGAATCCTCTGGCCTTACATAGGTGGAAGTAATCCTAATGTCTCCTTGCTTTATTTGCACTGTGAGTGTTGTTACTTCCATAGTAGTTAGTTGTGAAGTTAGGAATCTAGTATGGATTATCCCTTTTATTACTAGGATAGCTGTGCCACCTGATTTTCCTGTGTTGCTGTTCCTGTAGATATCGTAGCCAGAAAACTTTAGGTTTATGGTGTTTGTTAGCTTAGTTTACTGTATTGCTACGATATCCATTTTGTACCTAATAATCAGTTCGTCGAAAATATTTTTGTTGGTTCTTATGACGCCTGGATTCCAGGAGCCTATCCTTAAGTATCTTCTCTTAGCGTGTCTTAGTTAAACGCTAACTTAATGTCTTCAAATGCTTTAAAAATGATTCTGGTGACTAGTCCTTTCACTGTATTCACTAGCTCATCCTGCTGCTCTTTAGAGATCAATATGGTATTGTTCTCCGCCTGTTGGGTGGTACTCATAGCCTGTGGATATGCCGGCCCGGTTTGCTTTTTATCTATTGTTGTGGCCTTCTTAAATGTGCTTGTTGCCTTTAAAGTCTTTCCCAGGTGGGGCATCTGGGTCCTTTTTAGAAATTAGTTCTTTAATGGCATGTATTGTAATAAGAAAAAGTATAGGACTTCTCCGAAATGCAACCTCCAAATTCTTTGTTTTAGTTCCTCTTGGCGGGTTAGTGTGAAGAAATATTTCAATCGGAAAGTACGTTTTTTGATTTTGTTCTGAAGACACCATGCAGTGGTGCGGTTAACTTGAGCGGAACTATACTCGCACTTTGTAATATTAATATGTTTACAAAAAAAATTACTTCTGTGTTTCTACTAAATCTACATTGGTTTATTATATGTTTTTACAATATTATTGAATGTTATATGTTTTTTATTCGCAATTTACCATTTCTTTCAATTATAGAGAAACTTAGTACACGATTTTTCTTTATATCGGCTAATCTGAATTATGGTCATTAGCTCGAGTTAAAATTTGCAGTTTACATAATATTATAATATTATTATCAACACTAGGTAAAATTTACAGTATACAAGATAACATAATATAAATTACAAATAATATAGTTAACATTTAACATAAAAAAAATTAACATATATATTTGTTTTAATAGTTGATGTTTGTCGAGATATGTTTAGAGGTCATCTTTCATGATAGTTAGTAGAAGGCAAAAGAAATAGAGGTAGATATCCCACACGATACACGGACCATATTGTTGCTACCATTGGCGCTCCATTGTCAGAATGAAGAGAAGAAGAAGAAGAAGTAGTTTGTCGAGAAATCCTTATTGATTTGTTCGGTACTGTTTTAGACCTCTAAAATTAGGTCTGATACCGAGCTATTGACTTATTTTGGGGTAAAAAGGACATTCGATGTGGAGCGTCGTATTACAGTGTTGACATTTTGGTTGTGTAGATGATATCATCAGATAGCCATGATTAGACACGTATATCTCAATAACCGTATCATTGCCATATTTTTCGAGATACACTAGGACAGGTTAATTAGTTTCACTGAGGGTTTAATTTCATGCCGCTCTAAAGTAATTTTATTCCAGTGAATTTGTCAGATGGAGAAATTAAGCTTCTTCAGTCTGACTTTTAGATCGCTGCAGATTTCTATATTAATAATGGCGTCCATAGATGATGTGGCTTTTTTGGCAAAGCTTTTTCGTTACCATTATTTCTGACATGAAATAGTACCTATGTCAGACTGACTATTGTATTTTGATTTATTTTATGGGAAGCTGATATATGTCGTGAATACATGAGGAGATGGTTGGTTGATATAATATTATTGGAGTGTATGGAGAAAAGTGCATCAGTGCATATGGCTATGTGTGTGAAGAAAATTTAATGTCCGAAAAAGTTGAAATACTTTTACCATCACTGTAAAAATTTTTACCAAATTTTTACAAAATTATAAGCAAAGTGTCTGTATAGTCAACAGTTTATTATTTTTTAATAATAAAATTGCAATATGTCGGCTTTTAATGAAATGATTTTAATTTTTCCAAATTTGTTTGGTTTATTTTTTTTTAAGAAACAAATCATAATTTGGAAAAGGTAGGCCTTTATTAGTTTATTAGTTATAATCATTTAACCAATTAATTAAATTGCTAATAACAAATTCCTGCTCAAAAATTAGGATTATCACGTTTTAAGATTCGGATTTATTGGGTTAAAATACATCAAAATCAGTTGTAAAATATCATAAACCTCATTCGGCGACGAAACTCCCCTTTGTCCCTAGAGTACATTCCCCGATACTTGTATTTCACTTACCTGTAAAGCCAAAATCCGTGATTTGTTAACATTGCTCATGATACATATTGCCAGTGTAAATAATCCAGCAGATGATGCTGTTAACTTTCTGATGGATTCAGAATATCGTATGCAGCAATTATACAAACATTGCAAGCATGCCAATTCATCCAATAAAGTCCGTCGTTGAAGGGCAGGTGATAGTTTAGATGTAGTTCCTCCTGATGAGCAATTTTGAACTTGGCCGGCGTTAGACTGACTTAATTGAATAGCACGAAGTAGATCTAGTAGGACTGTAACTCCATCAAGAGGATCTGCGACAAATTCTTGGACGAAACTACAATTATGAAAGTTAAATTAATGTTAAGTTAATGATAAATTTGAAGTAAATTATATTTATAATAAAACAGGCCATTGTAAGCTACAGATAATGATAATGTTTTTAAAAGTATTCCATAGATATCACTCTTTTTATATTATTTTATCCTATCGCGTCTCCTCACTTGAGCCATTCGCTTTTTTAAAGTTCTGTTTTCTTGTAGCATATCTAAGTTAAATATTATGTTTATGTGGGATTAAACTACAAGTATGTGTACTAAAAATTACATTTGTTTAACTAACTAATGTTTGACTTTTCGATTTAGACTACGAAAAGCGTTTTCAAAAATAATATTTTGTTGCAAATACGTATAACCGCTAATGTTAAGATTATGCCTTCTCAAAAAATTAATGAAAACGAGTGCTAAGTTAATCAACTTTCGATTTTTTCAGAAGACATAAGAGCAAATTTGGTGGATGTATACCTTTTAAATAAAATTGTTAAATAATCGTTTTGAAAATCATTTCCGGAGAGGAAAATTTTTAGATAAAAGCAAAGACTATCTACTATCTTTGTATAAACCTAAAACAAAGACAAACTCATATAGACCAATACGCTTACAAATATCATATGTAAAATTATGAAAAACATGATAAACCGTAGACTTCATTAGTAACTTGAGAAAAATAAACTACTAGCTCCTGAAAAACATTTCGATAACATAGATGCACTACCGATAATATAATTGATCATGGATTTGAAATGAATGAAGGATTTGTGAATGAGTAAACAAGTATCACTGTGTTTGTCGCCATTACTAAAGTATATGATACGGTATAAGCCACACATTTCTTGAAAATCTACAACACTGAGATTTAAAAAGTAACATATTTGTTTGGAAAAATATTCAGTACTTACATATTATCTTATTTTTAATTTTGAAAAATATGACCTTATTTGGTTATGCTTCTTTAACTAATTATAGTATATCAGCTTAGTATAATATGTCTTTAGTTATAGATCTTTTAAATTCTGACACTCACTTAGAATTCACTTGTCTGAAACACATGTTATGGGGAAACTATTTACCACCCTGGACCACTTCAGATAAAGTTTTAAATTAAGAGTGACTTTTCAATTAGGGATTGTCCTCATCAAAATATGTTCTCACAATCGAATGCACCAGCAGTTTAATTCACTACAATTACGATTTGTCCCATGTAGAAAAATTCTGGTTTCTTATTACGTCGATTAGTCAAGAACCTTTCGCTCTTATTAAAGGCATTCCTCTGACAGATGCAAATTATTAGATTCCTTATGAGATTATATGGAAAGAGTATCAGAATAAACGAATTCTTGCTACCGAATATTACAAAGACATTTTCATTTTCAGAGCTTCACTTTTAAAAAATTCTATTGTTCTAAGAAAAATCTTAAATACATTCACTGAAAATGTTGCCGCTTTACCTGTTCTTAATTTTCCGGTTGAGGAGCAATGGGATTTTGTATTTTTCAATATGTGGTCGAACAATTTGGTCAATAAAACTCGTACAGATTTTAAATTACAAAATATTGATTTTATTTTTAAAAAGAAAACGTATAGCTTTGAAATCGGTTTATTTTAATTCGTTTACCCTTTCTACGCAGTCTTATTACTCTCAATCATTTTCTCATCATTCGAACAAAAAACCCGTTACATCTAGTTTGGTAATTGTCACAAATCAACCTAAGGTGTATAATCAAGGGGGTTAATGTGTCTTGTGTTCTGGTTTTTACCCTTTATATAAATGTCCGTCTTTTTTATTAAAAGGCCGCAAAAACATTTCTCGTTGGTTAAACGCCATAATTTATACATAAACTGCTTAAGAACATAACGTTGTTCTTAAAAAAATGTAGTTTTTGCAAATCACTGCATTATTTTACTCTTCATTTCCACCAATCGTCCAACGAATCTTGCTCATTCAGTTTACGGTTTCCTCAAATACCAACTTCTAGTGAGAAACTCAACCATATATTAGAGACGCCTCAAACCTCTCAGTTTAGTTTTCCGTTGACGTCTTTAATGAACGCTAATCTTTCCACACAATCAAGTTCAAAATTATCATCTGTATTGGTATCAACACGTTTGATATACATCAAAGATGTGGTTTCGGCGATTAGATCTTTCCCTTAATAACTTATCAATTCCAGAAGAAGGTCTAAACGGAATGTCGACGTGTACCACTACCACGTTCTCTTATATTAAACCGTGTGATCGTGACGGACCGATCTTCTCGTTGGAAGCAATCATAGTAAACAAGGTGTGTTCAAATCAACCCAAGGTATATAATTTTCCTCACAATTTCATTCACTTTCGTGATCTGCAACTAGCAGATCACACATTTTATTAATCAGGTCCGTTAGACATGCTGATAGGTGCTAAACTACTTTCACTTTTTTTAAAGTCTGGTCGAATTCTTGGGCGAACCAAACCAACCTGTGGTCTTAAAAATAATTTTTGGTTATGTGATACAAGGTCGAGTCTCTAGGTGCTTTCAAATTTCCATTTCACCGCTTTTCATACGTCTATGGAAAATCTAATAGCTAAAAAGGTATCATTGCTGATTTGAACGTCTGCTGTAAATATCAGATACAAAAATATGCTCAAAACGCTAACCTGAGGTACGCCAGATTGTATGATGTGGTAATTTGAGTAGCTGTCTTCAATTTTGACTTTTAAGTAACGGTCAGTAAGATATAATTTGAGTATAAAGTAAAGTTGGTCTGTTAGGTGTAATTTGTTTGTAGAGGAGACCTTCATGACATACTCTATTAAATGCCTATTGTATATCTAGAAACACTCCAGCGCAAAACTTTTTCTCTTTGAGAGTTGTTTTGATTATATTTACTACTCTATGGCATTGCTGAATGGTTGAGTGTTCACGTCTAAATCCAAATTGGTGTTGTGGTATAATTTTGTTTATGGGAACAACTTGCTCGATTTGATGTTATAATAGCCTTTCAAATACTTTTGACATTATTGGGAGTAGGCTTATAGGGCGATATTAATTTGCTTACGTTGCGGGCTTACCAGGTTTCGGAATCAAAGTAACTTGAGCAAATTTTCATTTTATTGGAAAGTTTCGTAGACGTAGTATGCTGTTTTATATTATTGTTTATAGCTCCAATGCTTTTCTCAGTAGCTTCTGAAGTAATTATTATCCTGTTATCAAATCTATTTTTATCTGTTGTCGAACCTCTGTCGGAGTAAATGTTGTCAGAGGAAGAGATACATAGTTGACATGGAGTTTTGAGGTACGTACTTATATCATCATCTTCATCGTTATTAGTATCTGTTGCTACGAATACAAATGGAAGATTCTCTGCGAATACTGTTTTTTCTGAGTTTTTGCGGGCTTAGGTCATATCTGTTTGTCTTAAAGGTTAATTTGTTACTGTCGGTCGTTTAAACTTTTTTGTTGCTTTCCATATAGAGTGGACTTCATGTGAGAGGTTCAAAACATAAAACTGGAAAAATCGTTTTTTTTTTCTTCATGTAATGCTTTATTTAGTTTATGACTTATCCTATTAAGGTACGTTTTATTTAGTGGATATCTTGTTTGTTGTTATATGCGTCGATTCCTTCTTTTTTCTGCTACCAGTTCTTTGATATAAAGGGGATTATGGTTTTCTTGCAAACATCTTTGGCGCTGTAGTGTTGTTTCCCATTCTGTTGTTTATAAAACTGTTGGTAAATAGTCTACTGCTTTCTCTACATCTTGTTTTTTTTTATTCTTATATCTAGTCTAATTTTTTTATTTACAGAATTTTGGAAAACATCCCAGTTTGTTTCTTTAGATGTGAGTTTGGCTGGTGGTGTTCTCCATATTATGTGTCTACTTAAAGTTGTTATTATTGTACTATGATCTGATGTTAAATTAAAGTTTGACTCTATTGCACTATGGATGTTGTCTGATATCCCTTTTGTTACAGCAAAATCTACCAAATCTGGAATTTTGTTGGCATCCATAGGCCAGTATATAGATAACTACCTCAAGTTATTTTGTTGGATAATATTCATTAATTCTCGACCTTTAGGAGTAATTAATCTGGAACTCCATGTGGTGTGTTTGGCATTTCAGTCTCCTGCTAATATGAATTTGGATCCAATAGTTTGTATGAAATCATGATACTATTCGCTTGAAATTGGATGTCTAGATGGGCTGTAGATTGATGATACACTGAGGGTGGTGTTTGTTTCGATTTTAATGATAACTGGTTAAATTTTTTCCGTAATATAAGGTTAGATTACATAGTGTGTAATTTTTAATGTAATAATGACGGCAGAACCTCCAGGTGCTCCTTCGTCTGGATGGTTTGCGTACTACACAGTATAGTAATGTATCTTAATAACCGTTATTTGTGTGGCATGGTTTTCAGATATGAATAGAATGTCTATATTATACATTTTTAAAAATAGTCACATCTCTAATATATGGTTTGAAATGCCATTAGCATTCCACGATGCAATTTCTAATGACTTGAAAGCTATTTTGTTATTTTGTTAATGACTGTAGTTAACATGATTAAAATTATGCTATTTTGGTTTAAGAGTTGAGAGAACATATTTTGGAATTCATTTAAGAAATTTAATAGTTTATCTGCTAGTTCATTATTTTTTTTATTGTCATAAGCATTTATGTTTCCAATGGTAGCATCTCTATAACGGATTCTGTTAAAATTATGAGCATGATGTTGGGTAGGTATATTTACATTGGGATTGTTGACAGGATTTTGAGTGGTGATTTGTTTTGATTTGTCATGGTATCTGACATTTAGTAGTTTACGATAAACAGAGCATCCTCTACCTTGTCAGTAATTTGGAGATCGAATCTGCGCTACGATACGATACAGTATTAAGCAGATACCAGCTGACTTTTTTTAACATTTTTCTTAAAATTACACAAAATTTTCTGTTACCCAAACGTTGTCTAAACTCGCACCTTTTATTGATGGAGTATGGTCTTTTGAGAGAAAGA